CTTGAGAGAGTGTTAAAATCGATGCCAACTGTCTCGCTCTCCCCCTCTCCCCTCCTCTTTCTCTTCATCCTATCTCACCCATCTGTCCCAATTATCCACCTTTCTCCCCAACACACACTCGCGCGCGCACACTCTCTCCGGAATGTTGAGTGTAAACTGTGATGGAGGACATTAGCGGTGATCAGTGGGAGCACTTTGCAGCGGTCAGCAGGAATGGTCCAGTCATACAGGACTTTAGTATTCAGCAACACTCACCTGCTCACTCTCAAACTGCTCCACTAGGGCCTGATGGCTGAGTTGGAGTGTGTGTATGTGTGCGATGGTCTGCATTAGCATTACACTTTATGAATGTGAGTGACTGCAGCATTATGAACCTTGACTCTGAAATGGCTTCTGATGACATAACACTCAACAACTCCATAGCTCCTTTAATTAGGCTTGTATCACAAACACCTTTTTATCTTAAACTCACATTTAACTAATCTCTTTGTTTCTGACATTTGTCGAACTTCATAAATGTCAAGATGCTATTACCAGCTTGATCATCCCCTGGGAGTTCTTTGATACTGAGCCTGTATCACTTATTATTATGATCATCATTAAACGTGCACAGAGATTTCCTGGGTTTCGTGTTTACAGCCACGAGCAAACTGGCACGCCAAATGGCAAACCAGTTGGCTCATCTCACCTCTGTCCCCTCATGATGGCTTAATATTTGTAGCTAAGTACTTGACTCACTCTGAACATGGCCGTGTTTTTGTGCAGCTAAACACTTGTTTCAAGATAATTGTTCGGGGCATATGTTTAAATGCCACCTCATTTACATAAACACTGTTCAGCTCCCTGCGGAATCAATGAAGACACAAGGGTGCAAACACAGAGTCACACACACACACACACACACACACACACACACACACACACACACACACACACCGGCACATTTGCACTCACTTTGACACTGCGCTGTATAGCAGACGATTCATCTGTTTTCTGCAACGGCAGTGAAATATACATCAAAGTGGTCTTCAGCAGATGAGCAGCTAAGTATGCACACACACAAAGCTATAATGTTCTACAGAGGGAGGGTTTGTAAAGGAAAATGGGGAGACGGAGGGAACAGAACTGGAGGGTTTTTCGGACAAGCGACAGCAAAATAAATGGTAGGCATGTATCAGTTTGGATCTGTCTGAAGTGAGAAATTCACTGGGGCTGTATCTGTCTTCTCTGCACACACCTTTCGGTTGCTACACCTCTTGTCCTGTCCTCCCTCTATTCTGACACTAAGAATAAAAAAAACCTTTGAAGTGTTAATGAGAGTTTGAAGAATGACTCACCACTGGCGATTAAGCACTAATATACATACGGGAACCAAAATTTAGACACGTCCGAGAGACCTATCACAATGACTAATTAGTGATGATAAAGTAGTAATGAGCAAAATCCTAATCTAGACATACCGCAGCACTCCACAGGGAAGCTAACCAAACAACAAAGCACAAGAAACACGAGAGGATTTGTTGTAGAAGAAGAGGGGAGGGGGGCGTCATGTGTTTTCTTAATGCTGCAACGCCTTATCAAAGTGAAGACACAATAAGTTACCCCTGACAAATCCCAGTTGTAATATCCTTTGTACTCCACTGATCTAAGCTAAATCAAAGAGCATCTAGCTGTTGTGCTGGTTGGCACTGCTTCACCTACAATAAGACAGACAGGAGTGAAAGATGCTGCTCAGCATGTCTTGAAGAGGAGTGTTAAACTCACCAGCTCTTTGCTGAAGGACACATACTCATAGAGAAGGACTGTTTCACCTAACACAAGAGGACACTTTTGAACTACTTGACCACTAGCGTTGCCTGTTTATCATGCTGACAGGCCCATAAATTGGGCCATGTCTAAACTAATATGAATAAATGTGAAATCTTTTTTTATTTTTTGACCTTCCATACCTACTTAGCCAGCATTTTCCAAAACCAAAAACTTTCCACATGTGGATTTATCTACATTAGTTAGGACATGGCAGTGGAAATAAATGATGAAGTGTGAATGACACCTATTACTGTAAGCCTGCAGCTTGGACAGAATAATATGTATTCAACATAATGTGAACTTCTATTTTTACTTGCCTCATGGAGGTCAGCTATAATGGAGCCTGGTAAGACCCTGAATCTATTGTGGATTTAATATTTTGTTCAGGGACACTTCAGAAAGATAAAATCTTGAATCACTGATGTTGTTTGCTTGAATAGTTTCCTTTTATGGCATTTCTACTCTTTTTGATGGTATTTAAGGGGTTATAGATATAAATTACAACTGTACATATGTTCAATATCAGATCTGATTTGACTGTTCAATATGACAATTAAATTAGGTAAACCACAGGTGTAAGTAACATAAAATGAATGATGGTGGAATTCCATTTAGCTGCTTCAGTTTCAGGGTCCTGGTATTGATCATGCTGGCTCGCTTTCACAACTTAATGGGACACTTCAATAGAATGGAGCCTTCATTAATATTATTAGCAACATGGTGCTTTTCCCACTTCAAGTCAGGATTTCTGCTGTAAAAAAAACCCATTGAGATGGTGTACTCCAAAACTAGAGCTGAGATAACATGGATTTAGATTAGTAAATGCAATGTTACAATATTTTACAGAACTTGGACAGTGCACAAGCAAGGAAGGATTTTCAAACAGTCTCTGCTTGTAACAACCTTACAACTGTACAAGCCAAGAACCATCAAAAAATTCTGCCAATACGGTACACGACTTTTGGTACTAATACTAAAACAATATTTTTTTCAGATACCTAAGTTTGGGGAATATAAACAGAATATGCCAAATTGCTCTCTGTGTCTTAAAGTGGTTTGTCTACATAAAATATAGAAGAAAGTTGAAAGTTTCCTGATTTAAATCTATAAATATAAAATCAAAGAACAACTGAACAACCCTAAGCATAAGGCTGCAACTGTCAATCATTAACAGTTAGTCTGCTTATAATTTTGTTGATTGATCAATTCATTGTTTTGTCTATAAAGTGAATTGTGAAAAATATCCCTCACAATTTCCCAAATGGGTAAGATCTTCAAATTGCTCAATTTGTCTGACCAACAGTCCAAACCTCATAGATATTGAGTTTATAATTGTTTAATTATTGATTTACTGTCAATCAAAACATTAATGAACTGACTAATCATTTAAACATTTGAAGCCAACTTTTGACAAAAATATGGCGTACACTGTAATGGATTACCCATCTCAAACAAGTGTCAAGCCTCTTCAAATTAATTTTCATGACATGTTAAAATGAACAGAAACTCGCCCGCCTGAAAAATTAGCAAATTCATCAGTCTAAAAATGTAGATAGGCCTAATATAGTTAGTCAAGTGCGTCCAAATTAGACTTTCTGAGAAATTAGACTTGTTTCTGAGACAAGACTAAACTTGATGCAGGGGCGATAAAAAATGAGCATTTGATGATTCTACAAGGAGATGAATGAGTTCTGAGACAGATGATTCAATTTATCAAATTTAAAAGAGAAGCCCTAATTTGTAGAAATTGAGATATATGCATACAATATATATGTACAGGCTGTGTACACTAATTACCTAATTCACTGGTAGTCTTTATGCCCATCTGGGAATAATGTCTGTGTGTGTGTGTGTGTGTGTGTGTGTGTGTGTGTGCGTGTGTGAGTGAGTCTATTTGAGCGTGTGCAGAAGTTTACTAGTAAATTTGTTAATATGACTCTTTGCAGCATCTCTGCTAGTCCGACTATGTCTACTCAACACTGCTCGCTCATTCCCATCACATAGTGAGCGCGGGCTGAACATGACAGACTGGTAATGACTTGAGTACGGACACACACACATGCACGCACGCACACACACACAGACACACAGACACACACATACCAGCTGCTCCTTTCCTCCTTTCTCATCAAACTTGTCATCAGCTCCGCCAGTTTGTCTCGTCTCACATTAAGAGCTCATGAATAATGTGTGATTACCAGAGACCCTCAGAGCCGCTCCTGAATCTACAACACACACACACACACACACACACACACACACACACACACACACACACACACACACACACACACACTAATTCACACAGTCCAAAATATCATGTACATATTTACATGTACTGTCATTTTCTTTGCTTCTCTCTGTCTTTCTCGCTCTCTGTCACACACTCATTCTTTGTCTCAGCAAGTGCACACACACACACACACACACACACAAAACACACAGCCAGTAAGTACACACAGACTGAGAGATGGTTTGCAACTAAATGCCAGTTTGGTGGCTCAAAGGAACCATGGGCACCAGGGAAAGGTCAGGGAGTTACCCTACTAGGCTGAGCAGGTCACACACACACACACACACACACACACACACACACACACACACACACACACACAAGTAGATCAACACACACATACCTAACAAATACTCCCCAGGTAATTAGGGCTATTTTCAGCAGGGCAACTCATCTCATCCTGAAAGCACTAATGTAATTTGATTCGTTTAATTCCCATAGCCATGAGAGGGAGAAGGAGGCATGGAGGGACAAGGGTTTCATGCTTGGATACCCAATTTCCCCTCAGTTTAAAATATTCACATCTACTGTCCTCTACCAAGAAAAAAAACTCCTTCTTTTATGGCTCATGGAAAGGAAAAGATCATCTCTTGTAAAAAAAAAAATATAAAAAATATCCACCTCTGTCATCCACCTCCTCAGTAGATGACAGTGCCATTGAGTCTATTGTTTTCTTGCTGTTTGCACACTTACAAACACACTTTTTTGTCCTCCTATACTTTTGAGGAACTTCCTATTACAATATTATTTTCCTTATCCCTTATAATGAACTAGCCTTAAGAAAAGAGGCTAAAAAAAGACTCTTTTACAAGCTCAAGGACTCAAACTATGTATTCAAAAAATAAAACCACAAAGACACACACACCAAGGAAAATCTAGGAACTGAATGTTGTCCTACCGGCGAATCACTGGTTGCGGTTGGACACAGCGGTCCTCTAAAGACTCCCTTGACGCGCCGAAAGTGTCCATTGCTCAGGTGTGTGGAGCTGATAACCAGGTAGTAACACGCGCTGCACGCCATCCCAGGGGCCTCACGGGGCTTTGGCTCCATATACTGTACGGCGGGCTCCTCTGCGTCGGCTCCTGGGTGTCGGCGGTGTCCCGGAGGGCGTCAAAGTCGGGTCCCCGCACGGATGTTGCGCAGGTGAGAGCGCGACCGAGGCCGGTGCGGCGGAGGACGTCTCACTCCTGTCCTCTGTTGGGAAGTCTGTGCCTGCATTTAAAAAAGGAAGAGCGCATGAGAATGTGTTCTTTACCTGCTTATGGCATGTGTGTGTGAAGAGAACTACAAACAGAAAGAGACAGACAGTGAAAGAGTGAGAGACAGACTGAGAGCCGGGGATGTTATACCGACCGAGCTCTGCCGCTGGAGTCTGCGCTTGGCATCCTGTCGTCGGTCGGGCTTAAATAAATGAATGAGCGCCTGTGGAGTGCCAGAGGAAGAGAGGAATCCATCCAGTCTCTGTTTCACACACACACACACACACACACACACACACACACACACACACACACACACACACACACACAGACACTCTCTCTCTCTCTCTCTCTCCTCACCCTCTGTATGGCTCACCCCTCCCCTCTCTCTCTCTCTCTCTCTCTCTCTCTCTCTCTCTCTCTCTCTTTTTTCTCTCTCTCACTCTCTCTGCTTTTACAGTCCACTGGTCCAGTCTGTATAAAGTGTATGCAGCCTCAGCCAAGCAGCAGCAGCAGCAGCAGCAGCAGCACCCAAATTGGGGTTCTCAGTAAAGAAAAGGGGAGCAGACACTCTCGCAGGTGCGCCTCCGCTTCACGCAAGTCGAAGAGGAAAGACAGGGAAACCATATGACCCCCTTTTCCCCCTCCCTCTCTGCTCTCTATTGATTGACACCGGGTTTAAAAATCACCCGACTTGTGAATGAAATTCCGCGGTACGAGACGGCAAATTCATCCAGAGCAGTCCCTGTAGTTATTATCGGGCTCCAGCGAGGACAGGCTCAAGAAGTGTGGTTCAGATTCTTTCTCAAGGAAGAAGCACACACACACACACACACACACACACACACACACACACACACCCTCTCTCTCTCTCTCTCTCTCTCTCTCTCTCTCTGTCTGCCTGCCTCTCTTCTCGGGGGCTGCACCGGACCAGATTCCTGTCTGCTATAGCCTATAATATGCAGCCCGTGCCCGTGCGTGGGTCTGGGAGAGGGGGATCATTTCTGTCCACGCTGTGCTTGAGTAACTCAGAATTGAAGTCCCCCCCCCCTCCTTCCTTCTCCTCCTCCTACTCCTTCCTCTCTTACATTTCTGCTTTCCTTCATTTTCTTCTTTACTGTTCTCACCACTTTTTTTTTATTTTGGTGCTACGAGAAGCAAAAGGGGTTAAACTTTATCACACGTGTGCCACTGTGTATGATTTAAGTATGTCGGCAAATGAGGCACCAACCTCTTTCCTGATTTCTCCTGATTTCAACCTCTCCCGTCTCTCTCTCTCTCTCTCTCGCTCCCTTTTTTGCTTTTGAGGACATCAAAGAAAGCGCCACGCTTTTTTTTTTTTTTTTTTTTTTACAAGGTGTCGGTATCGTCAGGGGGAAAGGAAACTTCACTCAGTTGCAACCTCGGGGGGTAATGATTTGATTACAGATAAAAGGGTCTTTCTCCGGGCTCGGCCTGTCAAACTGCGCTGTGTGCCGTCAAAGAGCAGCTCGGAACTAGCTGCAGCTGAGCCTCAGTCTGTCTCAGCGGCGTATGGCGCTGTTCACCAACGCGGTGCTGAAACTATTCAAGTGCGAGCACCCACAGCACTGCGCGGCGCGTCATGCATATTCAGCCCGGGATTAGGGGGTGCCTTTTGTGCTCAACGTCAACACTGAACGCTACAGACAGCTCTGGGTTTTAGAGGTAAACATGAGGTAGAAGGACACAGAGGGGACAAGTCACAACGTGGGAAGAAAAGTCCACTTTGCTCTCTGCAGCCGCAGAGAGGTACACAATATTCTTTCAGGTCAGCACAGCTTTTATTTTGCTATCAATTTCCCAGCTTTATTTAAGGTAGGACACCTGTCGCCGATGAGATATGTCTCAACAAAAATGTCTGTCTCTGATAGGCAACCCACGTCAACAATCTTTAGATTTAGTGCAGCTATCAGTTCAGCTTTATGGTCTTTAAATACCTGCCACCAGTGACTAAATCAAAATAACTGAAAAGTGCTGCTGTTGTTTTGATGCTCAGAAAAAAGGAACCCTAACAAAACTTTCTTTTATCGCATCTTTTATTCAACAAACACCCAAAGGACACCTTGCAAAAAAACAAAAACTTTTTGGCTTCTATTACTGCTTCTGAGGCAATTGAACTTCCAAACACTTCTAATACAAACATGGCTGATCCATTTTTGCAGTTCTTGCAAACATATTCTTCTCGACAGCCTCCTACTCTTTGTCAAACTGTTGCTCCTCTACAGCCTACTCATTCTCACTTTCTGCAGGATTTTCCTACACTTTACCAAGTTTCTGTCCAGTCCTCAAGGCCAGGTTCCTGCCACTTTTCAGCCCTCTCAAACCACAGCCCTTTGTAGATGCCCGCATCACACAAACCAGCCTCACAGCTATGTTATTCAAAGCAACATTGCATTTTGGTTTTGATCTGTTATGACTGAGAGAGTGTGTGATGGCGCTGTTTTTATCTGCATGCCCTCGTACATGAGAGGTTTGTCCCCCGGGGACTCTGCAGCTCGCTGTTTCAGTAAACATAGAAAGAATGAAGCATGGATCTGTCTATACCATGCTCCTTATATACGGGCCTATTAATAGACTCATGGCCTCCTCCTCTATGATACAACGCACACACACACACACACACACACACACACACACACACACACACACACACACACACACACTTTGTGTGCAGACACACGCTTGTATTAACATCTTTGTTTAAACTAGTATGGTGACCCTCTGGTTTCTCAGGAGACCGTGGACAGGCGTTCCCCTGTGATGGATTTCCCCTCTACTGTAATGGTCAGTGGAGTGTGGCTGTGTGTGATGTGAGACAGAGAGAAACAGTGTGTCTGGAGACCATGCAAGTGTGTACAACATGCAGAGTTTTGCTCCTGTGTGTGTATACATTTGTCTGTTTTTACATAATCTTTTAATTTATTTGGGTTTTTCTGAGGTGACCTCAACAGCCCTGTTTTTTTAGTAGGTCTGAGTCAATATCATAAAGAATAGGAGAGTATTTATTTTAAGATAGAGATCTAACCTTGGATTTCTTTATTAAACGACTTTAATTCAAACTTCCAGCCAAAGCAAAGCTTAGAATGAAGTCTCCTTGATTGTTTCTGAGGCCGATGTTGGCTGAGAACTCCGGATTAAGTGCTAAGTGTACAAAACATCAGGGACATCTCTCAGATATAGTAAGTTGCAATAAGTTACAGGCTTCTTGCAAATATCACATTTTAACTATCTCAAAGCATTATCATAAAATCATCAGATTTTTTAATCTCTCTGTGATTGGAATGAATTTAAAGAGGGAGGCTATAAGAAATAATAGTTTCTACCTGTATAACATTTTGTATTAATATTTTTTAATATTTGGACTCTATTGAGGACACAGTGGTCTTATCCTTTGTATTCTTCTTGAAGTCTTGTTGGCTGTAGGATCATTGGAAGAGTTTACATTCTACATTGGTAGATATTTTACTGGCTGATTCCAGTTTGTTTTATTACATCTTAATTTATTACTCGTTTTTTAGTAATTGTTTCATAAATGGAGCGAAGCCTGCAAGCTAGTTCAGGCAGGTCAACTTGAGCTGCGCTGATTACACACATGACATGCTTTATTCCATAATCACTAACCAAGTGCTCCCTTCCAATCTGGCGGTCTATTTAAACTGCACAATTTCCCAGGTCTCCCTCTGCTCTGTCAATGCCGCTGTTGCCTTGCATCCGTATTGCTGCTGCTTCTCTGTAAGCTATTTCTGCTCTGTAAGCTATTGCTTCTCTGTAAGCTATTGCTGCCTGCTGCGTCGTAAGCCCCACCACCACCCCAGCATCCACCTGTAGGCTCCGACTGGGGGTTAAGGTATTTGCCCACCACTCCCCAATATCTCATGTAAACATATCTGCGGGGAGTGATGAGGTCGGAGCCTAGACGCCAAAATGTAAATATGCTATACTGTTTAATAAACATTCCACGTGAGTTGGCTGACTGAAATACATATATAAATGAACTTTCATACCAGAATTGTATTCGCAATACTGTACTAGGTCGCTGTCCAGTAAATGCCAACTCCATCTCCAAGCCACTTAAGAACCCATTGAATTATCAAGAAAAAAAAAAAATCAAAGCTGAAAACAGGACTGTCTTAGCTTATGAAAAGTTGACCATGGTTTTCACTGGACAGAGACCCTCAGGTTGGAGAATAAAATATAAATAAAGTTAAATATTAACAACCCCAATAATCAAAACAGTTTTAAGATTTAAATTCTTGTGTTCCAGCTCTCCTGGGGGACACATGATTCACTATTAGTACTATTATTAGAACCAAAATGCTGGCTATGGCCCTGTTGTGCTGATCTTGTATTTTTGTCTTGGTCTTTATGCTGTTACATGAGTGCAGCAGTTTTCCTTTTTTTTCATTCGGACTCCACTCTCTCCAGTGATTTGCTTTCTGCTAAGCTGTCCAGGATTTTTAGCCAGTTCGTTGTAACCCTGGGGTCAACAATGTGTGTTTGTACGTGTATGTAAGTGTGTGGCTGTTTCGCTGTACTGATGATGATCTGTCCCAATGGCCAGCATTATCAGTTTGTTTTGGTTTCCCACTGCTCTGCGGTCTAAACTCTAACATCACCCCGTCGCTCCAATTTCCTCCTGCTGCCACCGGCCTGAACCTCAGCAGATCATATCAGCACAACTCCCTAATGACAATAAAGCTGTCTCAGTGGAAAAAACACCAGCACACTCATGTCCACACCCAGACACCTACACATACGTTTATGACCACCTACAGACACTTGCATGCATCCTGTGTCAGTGATGGAAACATTGTCTTTATGCTTTCTCTCAGCCACTTCACCGCCTGGGAATACTCTTTCCTCACACAAGAAAAAGGAAACCAATTT